CAAAAAAAAAATCTGCAAGAAAGTTAGCATTTTTATCGCATTTTACTGAAAAGCGCGTTACTACAATAGTGCTCATAGCAATGCAAATTGCAACTCTTTAACGGTAGGTACACACAGAGCCTGAGTAAGGCAGGGGCATACTGGCAGTTGCCCCAGGCCCCCACATCAGAAGGGGCCCCAAATCGAATAGAAAGTTTATTTTACGCCTCCTTCTTTAATAAACTTTTTTTAAGCAAAATATCAGTACTGTGTAAAATCCGTCAGTTTTACGTTAGCATCTTCATTAATCTATCGTATGAACACAAAAAGTCTATATTTCGTAAATCCATGGCTTTCTAGGGCGTAATCCAGCTAAATTTTCGCAATTACGATGGACAAATTTGGCCAATCAATAGCTTGTATTTTTATAAAATGCGATATGTTTACAAAAATACTGGCTTTCGATTGGCTTAATTGGGCCATTGTAATTGAGAACATTTTCCTGAATTCCCTCCTAATCCAAGGATATAAATTTTTCGCAGCTAGATGACAATCAGAAAACTGACATGATGGACATGGAATTGTCAATCAATAAAATGGACGAACGATATTTCGTCTGGCCATCGGAGGAGGGGGGGGAGAGACTTTGCAACTACTTTAGGTTCTAGTCAGTTTTCTTGTTATGTTATCCATAATGAGGTGAAAAATTTAAATACCTCCATAAGTTCGGTTTTACATTGCTGAAGTAGTAAAACAGAAGGGGGCCTCCAAAGAATATTTTGCCCCGGGATCTAATTAGGTTAAGTCGGGAGCTGGGTTCACATATAAAAATTCTCGTCAATTTATCGCCTGGGGGAACTTATAGTCAATCAAAATAACGATTAATTAAAGTGCTCAAATATCATCTGCAACTCTCTGCCGGATGACAACTTAAGCTTCCATAGTTTCTTGACCACTAACTAATATCAGATTTCATAATTATATTTCTTTAAATTATATATAACCCCTAAATTAAGAGTTTGCACATTTGTTTTAATTTCATAAAATAATTAAATGTTAAATAAAAAAGCGGAATGTTACTCTTAATAGTATTTTTATTTTCTAATAATCTTTATGAGAAAATGTATCATCAATCAAAACTTTAACCACTGTCCATCTAAGCCATAGCGCTTAAAAATTAACTGGAGTCCTATACTTGATGGCAGAACCAATGAAAATAACACACTTTCTTATAGTGAAAAAGGCAAACTTTCGCCCTCGAAAACATCCTTTTTATTTAATATTAGTGTGACACTTCATTTTTATTAATATCATTCGTATTTTTCCAGATCCTTTTAGAGCCTTCTAGAAAAATGGACATATATATAAAACCGTTGATTCAAAATCGAAAAAGCAAATAATGTATTTCACCTCAACATCTTGATTACTATTCGTGAATAATATTTCCTTTATCGTTCTTAATACTTTTCATGGTTTATTGGCGTTGTTACAGTGATTTGTATCGGCAAGGAGGAGATACAAGAAGTAATTATACAGAGCATTTTACCAAAATAGCCGATTTAAAAATATTAAAAAATATTAAAAAAAAACTCTGCTGTATGATTATTAACAATATTAAACTTTTATACTCACACAGCTGAACATATTGCTTTATAATTGTACTAAATGCTTTACTCAATGCACTAAATGCTTTACTCAATGCACTAACCTTTAAACATTATCAAAGCTACAGTAGCTGGCCTGCTCCATTTTCCAATGGTTTTATCACACTGTAAGAATTATTTTCATTCTACAATTACGGTAAAATAACAGGCAGCAATCTGTCTATCCAATTATCCGTAAATCTTATGGTAAAAAAAAGCATTTTTCACCTTTACTGTTTAGAAACCGTTTACAACTAGTATGGTTAAAAAACCATGAATACAAAACTATGCGGATTTTTTTTAACTATTCACAACTAGGATAGTTTCAAAACCGTAAATACGAAATTTAACTAGACATTGAAGCTAGGCTTTTTGTTAGGTAGTTGGCACTGAAAGTAGATTGTGGTTGAGTTGTGTTTTATCAATTTATTAACTGAACCGATAAATGTGGTTTAATAAGTTTACAAGGTTGTTTCACCTTTCGTAAGAGAGGAAAAATAGTAGACTATTTTGCGAAGCAGATTTATGGTGCTGCCATCTATGCGTGGATGAGAGCATCGTATTCTAATAGTCCAGGGTCACAAATTAGGGAGTTCAGGACACTGGAAACTCTTCATGTGTTGAAGAGAGTAGAGGAAATATTGTGGTGAAGATGCTATAGCAGCAGGCATGAGATTGACAGTTTAGTCCTCGTGGCTATATTATGTACCCAGCTGTAAAGAATTAAACGGCTTCATTAGGTCTGCATAATTGGTCCGATAAAACACTGATTGTTAAGCCTAATTATGTGAAAGCAGTTAATAAACGGTTTTTCTCGCAGGTAACAGTTTCCATACCATCTTATTTATGATTATTTGACTGTTTTGCTTGAATATGGTAAAATAACGGTTAAAAAAATAGTTATTTAATTTTTTCCGAAAAATTTCCAACAGTACAAATGACGATTTTTATAGCTGAATTTGGTGGCTAATTAGAATAAAACATAATTCGTGAATATACTTCTTCAGAAAATATACTACTTTTAATAAGTAATATTAAAATATAAGTCTATTTTTACAACTTATATTCATTCTGATGCGCAGAAAGCTGAACTTTTTGTAGGTTCTTCATAAGAAAGAATAAAAGTGTAAAGGTATGATGCAGTATTTTTTAAAACTGAAAAGTACTAAGACTGAAATATGTAACTTGTTCTTTTTCTAGAGCGTAAACTCGATCACATAAATACAGCGATACAATATGCAGAATGCATAAACGAAGAAATATAGAAACAATTATTGTTTTATCGTTTGTTATATGGCATTTGTAGAAGTAAAATAGAATTGAAAACAATTAATCCCTTCACTCAGATGCGACACCGGTGTCCCTTATACATATATAAGGTAAACTAACCAGTGAAGGAACACTTGAGCTTCGCTTGCCTTTTAAAAATTCATATTAATTTCAAAATTCGTAATTTTAGTTAAATGACAGTGTCAACATATTTGCTACTAATTGCAAATCATGTAAAAAAATTGTAGAGAACTTACATAATATTGTTTTAAAGTTTTGGAGGTTCAAATAACAAGTAGTAAGAAGACCAAGTGAAGGAACAGCTCTTACCAGTGAGTGAACACCAAGTAAAGGAACACTTAATTTTGGTTATTTTTTAATGCTCCTTGTGAATTCATAAGCCATACAAATATTTAAAAACAAGCCTATTCTTGAAATTATAACATATAAATACTTGGAAATTTTAACTTTTTTTGTAATTATGAATTGAAAATTAAAGTGTCAACATATTAACACATGCTGTTCTTTCACTGGGAAGTCTATGCCCAGTAAAGGAACATGCCTGTTCCCTCACTGGTCAGAAGTTGTTTTTCGTATTTTTAACATACTTTTGATGCGGGACATCACTAAAAGCACAACAAAATTAAAGTTTATCTTTTATTTTCATTAACTTAGAAAAAAAAAACCAGTAAAGGAAAGCTTGTTCCTTCACTGGTTTTTCATCGTTTGGTGATCCAGTGAATAAACACCCCCTTATATCAGTACTTGCTTATGCTATGATGCTTAAAAAAAATAAAACGTAACTTCAATAACTATATTTTGAATTCTCTTTTTCACAGTAAGAAAAAATAAAACTATTTCATGCAATTAATTCCACTTCAAGCATATAAATACAAACACTCACCTTATAATTTTTTCAAAGAAACAAGGTGTTTCAGGGATAATAACAAATTAAAAAAAATTTCCAGAGAAGTCTATTTGACCAGCTAAACCAAAACATTGCTAGATGACTTCCTATTGTTTGACAGTAAGCTATTGTTACCAATCAATCTGAAGAAAAACTTTCAAATTCTCATTTTAATCAATATATAGGAAATGTTCCTTCACTGGTTGGTTTACGCTATATATATATTTTCTAATGCTTATAAAAAGCAGTCTAATAGTTACTAAACAAATCTTATATTCGTACTAAAATATAAATAGAAAAAAGTGGTTTGATTTTTCCCTCTATTCATATTTAAAAATTAAAAAATAATTTATTCTGTAAATTAAATAAATTTCAATGATAAATAACTGTTTCTCTTAGATCAAAATAACGGCAAATAAATGCAGGTTTGAAAAAATCATTTTTGGAAATTAGACGTGTTTTGAAGATTTTACCTTTAAAGCAGAAAAAGATACCTGTGTGTCATGATGTACTTTATAATCATAAATTATTAAAATGCTAAATATAATATTTTTCACTTATTTTGACTTAAATTAAATAAATAGAATGAAAAAGTATGAAAAATATATTTAATAAAAATTCTGCGTCAAAGGATGAAATTTGTAAAGATAAATGTTTTAATTTTAATGCAACCAACTGTGAACGAATTTTTCGTTGTTTTCAAATATGAAATATATTATAAAAGATATAGAAATGTTGACTGAAAAATAAAACGAAGAAGAAAATAAATAGAAGGATTACAACAGAAAATTTCAGAAGTAATGCATGCCACGCTGGTTTTCTTTTTTTTTTCCACCAGCGTGAATCTTAAAAAATTTTCGTGACAAAAATTCATGTTTTTTCTTATTAAATTCTTCATTATTTTAATGTTCTTTTTCCAGTTTTTTTTTACCTCTTCCTTTCATTTATAACAAAATTATACTCTTTAAAAATATTAAAGTTTAATCGATTAATTGAAAAAATGACAAATATTGATTATTTTTATCATAGTTATAATTATTTTAAAGCATTTAAATTAAATAAATGATGAAGTAAGTTGAAGTAACTAATTATTTTGAAGTAACTTTTATTAAAAGTGCATTGTCTATAAATAGTAATTTAAAAAAATATTCAATAATCATTTTTACGGAGCATCATTGATAGCGCAAATGCAGTATCGTTGCTATGGAAACATGCTACGCTCATCCCGTTTACCACATCACTGCGAAATCACAGATATTCTGATATCTTTTATAAATATATTCCTCATTCGTCGAATTGGGTTTTTTTCCTGTGATTAGCAAAAAACGACTTAGTGATTCTTCTATTGATATGTGAAATAGCTGATGAATTCTGTAATTTTTCGGAATAAGTGAATTGGTTATACGATTCTGCTGTTGATATCTTGATACTTTTCGATTCTGTCCACTTGATAAGATTCAGGTTATTTATGCTTGATAGTTAAGCCTATGGATGCTTAAATTGAAAGGAAACAATCAAGGAATTTCGGAATCAATTCTAGATTATCATATAGCTAAGCCCCATTTTAAATAAGTTTGAAATTTCTTTTTACTTGATCTAAATCTGTAGATTCAGAGACAGAACTACGCCATCTAAAATTCATAAATTTTAACGAACTATCTGAACATGAGATGACAATATAACGCATATCTGGTATTCAAACGGAGTGTCGTAAAGTTAGACATTTTCATTTGAGCAAGGCATAATAGTCATTTAGATATAATAAATTCATCTAATTACCAAGTTTTTACTTTAAAAAATGATACTTAGTCTACTCAAATGGTTTCGTGAGACTTTTTACAGATCGGATTCAGATGCAGAAAACGAATCATTAAAGAAAAATTCAGCTTTGGATCTGAAGTTTTTTCCCAAATCTTACTATCAGCGTGTTTACATGAACTCAGAAATATATTATAAAATTATCTTCAATGAAGGAATAGTACTTACTTTATCAGACTACAGAAGATATTTCTTAAACTCGGGAATTCAGACTCTATTCGATTGCATCGTAGATGAAATGTTCGAAATAAATTCTGAAGAATCAGAGTTTATTGCAAAATTAACGCTTTGGAGGTTAAAGGATGACCGATTCGGAGAAAATATGTTCAAAAGCTTCAGTGGTCAAAAACTGAAATACTTTTTGCATCATTATCACCGTGCGCTGCATCAATTACATAAAGAAACTGGGAATTGGTCATTTGATCCATTATCTTTGGTTATGTCAGAGTGTTATAGCCCATTACATGAAAGTTTTAAGGAGGGAAATTTTGAAATGTTATCTATAATTTTAAATAGTGGATATAGATTGGAATTTAATGACACTAAAAGGCTATTCTACACTTCCTTCTCTTGCAACAGAGGACAAAGACGTATTGCTAACTTCGAGTATTTGATCAGGTAATATAGAAGTTTTTAATCGGGTAATGTTGAAATAAGTGCTTCTAGTTATTGATTATAAGTCCTTAAGCTAAAACTATGCTTCGTACTACTTACACTCGACATAGCCAAATATAAGTACTGTAGTAGTAGGTTTTTTACATTTCTCCCGTGAAGGGATATGCACTGGAAAAACTTCTTGACAGTGGAAAATGCTGACTATCCAGAGTTGACCTTCAGCTATAGAAAATTTCAAATTAAATTAACTTTTATTTTGATGGGATTAACTTGTAAAAATCTGTTTGTTTTTTTAAATCTAATAGCGTAAAGCTAAGGAGAAGATAACAAATAATAGCAAATATGTAAAATAATTAGAATTATTTCAGCTTTAATAGTTGTGTGGTGCATAGAATAATAATAGTTGCGCCGGTGCATATTTCGTGCATGAGTGCATGATTTCTTAGTTTTGATCAATACCTATTGATTGATTAATCCCTTTTCTTTCACCCTGTACAAAATACAGGTATTGAACAAGTTGCTTATGTTATTGAATGCATTATTAATTATGAGAACATTATTAATATTTTTATTAGGTAGACATAGATTAAGAACTGTTTGAGATCCACTTTAAACCACTACTAGATTAATTTATTGAGATTGACTAAACATTGTTACTTTTTCAGAGCGCATTGAATCAGAATAACGAGCAAATTTAGTGCAAAACTTAATATGTAGTACATTAAACAAGTTTAAATTTTATTAATCTATAATATGATTTCGATTGAAAGGTAACATAGTAATATTTAATATCTCATTCAGACTGCAGCAAATTAAAACGACATCTTAGTTATAGGTCATGATGCCGTGATTTCAAAATTATATTTCTCTACATTTCCGTGGCTTGTAACAGTCCCAAATTCCAATTATGTTGGCAGGGCATTAAATGAATCAAAAAAGGATGTTTAAGCTAATATTTGAAGAAAAAAAATTGTTAAAAATTAAGACTAACAAATACTGATTAATCTAATCTATTATTTCAGAATTAATACATTCCTGACAATCAGAAAATATTTGAGAACATTGGAGAAAAGGTAAGCATTTTATTCATATTTACTATTATATATATTAGATTATATATATATATATATATATATATGGCACAATAAGGACAAAAAGAATAGAGGAAATGACGACGAAAATTAAGAAAGATAAAAAGTTTTATTTACTGCGCATAAGTTGCAAGTATGTAGAACTCATAAAATAAGTTAAAAAGAAAAGGAAAACATGGAAAAAATATAATAAATATTAATGCAGAAAGAAGAAGAAACCATATTTAAATAAAATATTTCAAAATATTTAAAAGAATCTGCTTGAAAACAAATTTAAAAAAAAAAAAACAGAAAATAAAATAATGGAGAGATGTAATCTCGTCATCAGCTCACACGATTTTATCTGTAAAAAAGATGCTATCTAATATTGCATTAATTATAGCAAAAGCAAAATATATCAATACAATAGTGTGAGGAGCACCCAAAAAAATTGCAAAAAGATAGAACATAGTAAGTATAAATTTGAAAATAATTAAATCATCAATAAATCTAAAAAAATTAATATTATGAGTAGAACTCTTTTTTATAATAGTGTAAAAATAAGTTAGCTAAGAGAGATGAAAAATTAGATCCTTGTGGTATTCCATCAATTTGAATAAAATATGCTTTCCATTGTAAAAAGATAATTATTATAAAGACAAATAATAAATAGAATTTCCCAATAATCAAAATCGCAATTAAGGATATTTTTATAATCATAGTATTAACTCAAAGGAACATCTTTGATTTCAGAAAAGGGAATGGGATTGATGAGATCCTGGGAATTAAATGCTGCAATATAATTAATTTTATTTTGCTTAGTAAATTCTAAAATCGGTTGATTATTAGTGTTAACCCAAGAAAAAACCTTCTGTAATAAGATTGTTAATAATTTTATTTAAGTAGTTAGAGGAAATGGTGTCAAGTTTAGCTAGATAGGGATTAGACCCAGAGGTGTTAGTTCAAAATTGAATAGGAATTTTAAGAAATTTTGGACTGATAATTAAGTACGGAAATTGTATAGCATTAATTTTAATTTTAAGTCTCTTATATGAATCTAAAAAATTTTCAATTATAATATTATTATCCAAATTACTAAGCTTAAACTTTTTATTATTTTTAACTCTTTACTTAATTTTTATTTATTTACTTACTTTTTTTGCCTCGTTTTTTACATTGTTGTGAATAAATGTGTGAGCAGTTGCGGCCTGACTTCATCATACCTTATCATTGCAAGCTAAACAAAAAATGCCTAAGCAATCAATTTTTTGCAGAAGATTGCATAATTATTTTTAACTTAATTTATGGGGGTAATTACTAATTTTTTTTTGCAGTCGCTTAATTGAATTATCAATTTTAGAAAAATTTGTTGAATTATTATTATTATTTCAATTTTCCATTGAAAAAAATTTTTTGAAATAATAATAAACAGCCCATTTGCATTTTGATAACATACATAAAGGTAAAGAGAATCTACTTAATATCTTTAAACAAAAATTATTGAGATCATTAAGAAAGTATTTTGGAAATTTTACTGATTGATATATGGTAAACGGGTCTAAATTTTGTGCCTTTTAATCATTAAATTACTTAATTATAAGTTTTCTATAATATTTAAATCCCCAGTAATAATATGTTTATGATGTTTATTAACAAATTCAAAATATCTCTCTTCTTCACAGAGAATACTCGAATATATTAATTTTCCTAAAACTTTTACCAACATCATTATAATTAAAAACAGTTCTACCAATAAATTATTATTTTAAAAGATTTTAATGGAGATTAATGTTAAAATCTTTTAATGGAAACAGAAAAAAAAATTGTTAACAAGGAAATTTAATGATAAAATGCACAAATTTTGAACCTATTTACCATATATAAATTAATAAAATTCTAAAATACTTTCTCAATGAGCTCAATAATTTTTGTTTAAAGATGTCAAATAGATTTTCTTAACCTTTAAGTATGTTAACAGAATGGAAATTGCCTGTTTATTATTACTTTAAAAACTTTGTTTTCAATAATAAGGAAAATTTAAATAACAATAACAATTCAAAAAAAAATTCTAAAATTGATCGATCAATTAAGCAATTACAAACAATATTGGCGATTAACCCCTTAGACAACTAACTATAACCCAAAACTAACAATAACTATGCAATGTTCTGTAAAAAAATCTGTATTGAACTTTCAAATAAATTGTTAAAAAATGCAAAAAATTTAAGTGTGCTAATTACAATAATGATAGTATCATAAACAATTTTTGCTTTATATAAGAGGTTAAAAATTAAAATTAATGATATAGGATTTCCATACTTAATTATTAGTCCAAATTTTCTTAAAATTCCTATTAAATTTATACAAACACTAGTAGGTCTAGTAGTAGGTACTTACCTAAGCAAACCTGTCACTATTTTCTCTAGCTATTGAAATAAAATTGTTCACAATGCTAATAAGGAAAGCTCTTCTTGGATTATCACTAATAATCAACAGATTTTAGAATTTATTAAACAAAATAATATTAATCCTATTGAGATCTTTAAATCCCAAAATCTTTTTAATAGCATTATGCTTTCTAAATTAAAAGATGTTTTTTTGAATTATTACTATGATTATAAAAATATCCTTAGTTGCAATTTTTAAAATCAAATTAATTTAATAATTATCTTTACAATAAATAATAATTATTATTATCTTTACAATGAAAAACATATTTTATTCAAATTATTGGAATGCCACTAGGATAAAATTTTTCATCTCTCTTAACTAACTTTTTTTTCGCTATTATGCTCTAAATATTAAATTTGTTTTTAGATTTATTGATGATTAAGTAATAATTCATTGTAAATTTATTAAAAACTTCCTTGTTAACTAAATTTATATTTTTACCATATGCAAATCAAATTCGGGAAAATCCATGGCTAAAAATCTGTACATACCGGGCTAATTGTGCTTTGTTTTAATAAATGTTAATAATTTTCTAAAGTCATTAAAATTGTATAATTAAATGGCAACCTTATAAATTATAAGCTTTAAATTATCTAGTGCAGTATTATTACTTTGCGCGTATCTATTTTCAGGCAAATCCAAAGTCACTAACAAATTCAATGCACTTCAGTACTGCAGTAAGAACGCACCATAAAATGACCTCTCTCCTTACGATTTTAGCCTTTTATTTACGCTTCCAATTTCATATTTTATAATCTGGCAAACTAGTTACGAAAATATTTTAAATCGTTTTTGAAAGATATCGGAATGTCTAAGTTTATTTGAATTATTAAGAATTGCTTTATAGATTACATTTGATATTTAATTCAGTCTTTTTCTTTTCTTATGATAATAGTAACTTTTGAGATCTTGAGACTATCTGGGCATGTGAAGTATATTTTTCTAATGTAATTTTCTATTTTGATTTAATTGAAGCCACTTTCGTTAGAATCAGACTAAAAGTTGAGAAATAATAAAGGTTTTCATAAGTATAAGAAACACAATTTTGTACCCATGGTTCAGAAAAATTAGTCATTTTCTTCAGAGAAAACTTTTTTCAACACAAGATTTTTTTTTTTTTACTGAGAGCTTTATTAACCCCTTTTTTCTCTCTCCCGTGAAAATGACGGGATGAGGTTTCGCCCTCTATTTCGTGTTCCCGTGATATTGACGGGCTGGAGTGTTCAGTAATAACGCGCCAATAAGAATAAAACTGATTCATTTCTTTTGCCCGGAAAACAATTTATTTCTCATTTTACACACCAGATGGCAGTACCAGGATACTTTTAATGTAATTGCAGATAGTTCGTTTATTTTAAACTAGATGTCAGCACTAACCAAATACGTAATACAAATATAAAAGCCAATAAAATAGACACTTTTATGACCGTTTTCTTGAAAATTAACTGATCGTTAAGGGGTTAAGTCATTATAAACAATGATTGAAAATACGAACTCCAGAGACTATTTGGACATGTAAGGTATATTTTTTCATGTAATTGATTCATGTAAATTGAAGTGAAACCACTTTAGATACAATCAGACGAATATTTAAGAAGTTATATAGGTTTTCAAAGATATAAAAAACTCAGTTTTGTTGTTATAGTCTAGTAAAATTAGACACTTTCTTTAGAAAAAGTAACATCCAAGATTTTTTTTCACTGAGCTTCATTAAGTCATTACAAACAATGATTGAAAATAAGAACGCCCGGGACGAAGGTAGCGCCTTTCTAAAACAGACACTATTTAGGACCTTTAATGCTACTGCATCTTGCCAATTAGAAGTAGAGCTCACGCTCTCGCTTCTGCTTTAGCAATCTTTTTTTTTTGTTTTTCGCGCAATGAGACTGATTCAGATTGATTATTTGAGACTTATAATTTGATTTTGTTCAAATACGAATAATAGACACTTATAAAAGGAAGAAAGTTGATAAAAATAAATCTATCTCCGCACATTTTTCAAGATACTTATTTTCTGTAGAAATAAATAGATCTGTTTTATATTTCATAATGACCGTTGAACTAGATAAGGATTTTGCTTTGGTTTTGTAACTTACTCTAAAATTGGAGGTGGGGGAATCGAAAAAAAAATTCTGCTTTTATTTGAATTTAAAAATAAAAAAAGCTTTTTTTTGCCCAGTAATTTGAAATTTTAAAAATTGAAAATGTCAAATCAAATAAAAAATTTAATATTCGATAATTAACTAAATTAATAATTGCCAAACTTCATAGTAAAAAAATACCTTAAAAATATCTGTAGGCCACAGAGTTGAAATTTTACGTGCTGAAAGAGCTAGTTTCTTTTCTATAAACAAAAAGAGGGTAACTATTTTCTCCGAAATTCCAAAGATATAGCAATTTAAAGTAATTTCTCACCAGTTCTTTTTTTCCGTTTTTCTCTACTTTATCTAACGGTTATTCATACATTGAAGAAAAATTTATTTTTCTCTCTGGGGATCTTTGTTTTATAAGCTCGTGCTTGTCTTGATGTCAAAAGTAATAAAAAAAGAATAAATTAAATTCTTAAAAAAAAAACAAGAGAAAGAGGTTAAATGTTTTCAAATGATGCTGCCAAACCTTTAAAATTTTGAAAACATTTAAATTGGAAATGTCTCAAGAAGAAACAGCCTCCAATTTGAACTATTATAATATAATGTAAGGTGATCGTTATCTATTGTTAACAAGAAAAATTTCTTCTCATTTATTATTTATTACTGTATCACACATTGTTTATTCCTACATTTGAAATCTTTTTTATTAAGTTCAACTGATCATTTTGCAAATTTAAATTTGCATTCATTGTTTACGATTAACATATTAACATAACATTATTTTATAAAATTTAAAGAATTACATATTCTATGCACAAAATAATTTTTTCTTCGAAAAATATCAACTTTTAACGGTTTTAAGAGCAAAGAGCCAAGATAAATATACGAGAGTTAGCGAATAGAGCGAGCAGGGGTTAAAACTCCTATTTATTTTACATTTCTTCCACATCTCAAGTAGTCAAATTTCACATTATAAATAATGCAAAAAATATGTGATACGTCTGTTACTACATTTTATTACTTAATCCATACAATAAATTCAACATTAATCTACAATATAATATATTTTTTTCAGGCCTATTTACTTTCTCATACTCATTATATGCAGTTCTTTCATTTCGTCATTCCCTCATATAAGTCAGACAAACCATGAGAATAAATGTCTCTTTTTGAGTGCTCGAAACGTGCCAACTTCATAATTTTTTAAGAAAATGAAGTTTTCACGTAACTAAATACATCTTTCCACTAATGCTTCCTGCAATTATTCCTTTGGTAAAATATATGATTAATTTACCACAATCATTTTTTTATTTACTTTTTTTCCTCTTACAAGATCCATTTTAGTTAGTAATTCTTTAAAATATTTTTTCTTCTACAAAAATTATTTTATGCATTAATTCTCCCAAATAAAGTTTTTTCTTTTACATAATCCTTTTTAGTTAGCATTTCTTTTAAATATTATTTTTTCTTTAACGAAATCCTTTTTAGTAAGGAATTGTTTAAAGTGAAGTTTTTTTTTCTTTTACGTAATTCTTTTTGGCTAATGATTCGTTAAAATAAAGTGAGTTTGTTCTTTTCCAAAATGCTTTTTATTAGTTTTTCAAAAAATAAAGATTCTCTTTTTTCACAAAATTTTTTATGGCTTATAATTCTTTAAAATATTTTACTCCCTTTTATGAAATCCTTTTTACTAACTAATTCTTTAAAATAATGTTAGTTTTCTTTTACAAAATAACTTTTTAAACAGTAATTCTCTAAAATAATTCTTTTTTCCTTTATAAAATCTTTTTTAGAAAATAGTTCTTTAAAATAATGCTAATTCCTTTCACTTAGATTACTTATTAAAACAGTTTTCAAGTTTCTTGGTAGACTTCGAATTGCTAAACTTATCAAAAAATTTATTGATGTTCTTAAATTATTTTTTCATTATTACAGGAAAAGAATTGATGACAACTCAACCATATATAAATTGAGTGATCTGTGTTTTCAAGTTGAAGACAGAGAAACAGAACGTCATGATCGCTTCAAAGCATTCCAGGAAATTTTTTTCTGTTTAAAAGAAGCTTCATTGGCCGATATGTCAGAAGAATTTGAAAATCGTCATGCCACAACAACAAGAAAGTGCTCACTTCAAGTGAGGAGGAATTTCTTAATTCTTCAAACACTCCATGCATTTGCCAGTAATTATTGCGAACAGAAAAGGATGCTGGAAACTTTAGATCTAATTTGGAGATCTATACCTGATACATATGTTAATCCATTCGAGTTGATGAATATTCTTTATGAGGGTCGATATTTCGTGAAAAAAGAAAGTGTTTCTTTGACTCAAGAAGAATATGCCAAAAGTGAAATTCTCGGATATAACAATATCGCAAACCCTAGATCTTTGAAACATCTTTGCCGATGCGAAATAAGACATTGCCTCGCAAAAAACCATCAGTTACCTAATGGAGTGCATGCTTTAATCATGCCATCAGAACTCAAATCTTTTTTGCTGTTAGAACGATGAAACCGGAGTACAATTTGTTTATTTCTGAAATTGATGGTTTACTTAATATTAATAGACGATAAAAACTAAGTACAGTGCTCAAAAAATACACAAAAACGTAGTTTTTCTGAATAAACATACTTTTTTTTCGTTGGATTCAGATTTCTGCCTCGAAAATAAAGGGTGTAGCCATGATCTGGGAAATATTGTCTTAATAGTTTGGTCAAGAGAGCGATCCAAAGTTTTGACCCCTTAATGTTAATTTAATTTTTTTTTTTCGTATTTCACCATATCTCGAGAAATCTTTTAACAGACTGAAGAATTAATATTAATATTACATTACATTATTAAAATTATATTAAAAATTAACATTATTGAAAATTAATTGAACATTAAGGGGTCAAAACTTTCGACAGCTGTCCTGACCAAATTATTGGAACCATATTTCCCAGATTGCGGCTACTCCCTATCTCTTAAAAAGCAGAAATCTGAATCAGATATGTTTGATTAGAGAAAATACATTTTTGTACTTCATAACTTAAAATATCGTCTACTTAATAACTTCATAACTTAAAATATCGTCTAAATAATTAACATATTTAAAGTCGCCCCCTCGACCCATTAAGATTGAATCCCAGAACGTGAAGATCCAATCATTGGATAAAAAGTTATTCAGGGTTGTCCATTTTTTTTCTTCCTGGCGCACTGTTCTTATGCAAATTGTTTCACTATGCAATGCATGTAAAACAAACAATTCGTTATTTCTTCACAATGATTTTTAAAACTAAAAAAAAGGAATAAAAATATATAAACGAGTACTAAGCGTATTTCAACCTATTTTGGACTTTTGATCAAAAATTTATCTTAAACACAAAAATCGAAAATTATCTATGCAAGTATGTAAAATTGTTTTACGATGCAATGCATATAAACAAACTCTTTTACATTTTTTCGATGATTTTTAAAGCTAATCTATGAACCTAAGTGCGTTTTATTCAAATCACTCTCAAATATTAAATTATATCTAACTCTGGAATTTTAAATGTGTGAGCCTATTTATATATAATTTCAGTTGTACTGTTTGTTCATTAAAGATGTTTAACTGAATATTTACGTTTAGTAATTCTCGCCTCTTTGAATTGGAATTTAGTATTATTTGAAATAAAAATGAAAGTAAAAAATTCAAAATAAAAAACAATATTTTTAAAAACCACGTTTTTGTAGTAGAGAATAATAATTTTAAAAAAAGTTTGAAAAACGAAAAACGTGGGGCGCATGAAATACATAACAGTAATGTTATATTAGTGTGTGTATGTGTGCTCATGAGAATATGTGTATGTATATCTGTAATTGTAATTGTATCTGAATGTAGATGTTGAATATGTTTGCGTATATGCATATGTATGTAGCTGTGCATGTGTAAATATGTATAGAAAATGTGTATAGAAAATGTGTATATATATACGTATATGTACTGTTATGTATTTCATTCGCCCCACGTTTTTCGTTTTTCAATTTTTCTTTAATTATTATTCTCCACTACAAAAACGTGGTTTTTAAAAAATTGTTTTTTATTTTGAATTTTTTTATTTTAAATTATAATTTTTTTAATTTTTATTTTATATTTTTTAAAAATTATTACTTTTTAATTATTATTCTTCACTACAAAAAACGTGGTTTTTAAAAACATATATTTTTATTTAGATTATTTTTCTTAGTCAAGAGTAGTCAAGACTACTACAAGATCACTACTAAAATAATAGAACTTTCACTTTAAATTAGGGATACGAAAATCTTTATAGAAAAACAATTCGCGATCGCAACGAACTACAGGGGGCGTTGTTGTATGAGACTAATACCTGCGATTTCTATATGAACAGTCATTCAGTTACTCTAGAGACGTCGTTAATGTAGCACGTAGCATTGCAACGTTCCTTCTTTATTGTGGCTAATTAAATTTAAAAAAGAAAAATGCTTGATATTCTTTCTTATGCAAACGAAAACAAAATGGTATCTCTTTTTATTAGAGAAGG